AATTCTGTAGTTGAAAAATACAATAACAGAAATAAAAAATTTACTAGAGGGGCTCAATAATAGATATGAACTGTGTGAAGAAAGAATCAGTCAATTTGATGGTAGATCAACAGAGTTGATGAAATTCAAAAGAGAAAGAGAAAAAAGAATGAAGAAAAACCAAAGATCCTTAGAGAGATGTGGAACACGATTAAGTGCACATACATGCAGTGGGAGTAAGAGAAAGGGAGGAGAGAGAAGGGAGCAGAAAAATATCCAAGGAAATAATAGCCAATAGCTTTCCAGATTTTCTGAAAAAATTAACCGACATATATGAGAGTCAACAAACTCCAAATAGAATTTGTTGCAAAGAGATTCAAATGAGACACATCATAGTAAAAATATTCAAAGCCAAAGGAAGAGAGAAAATCTTGAAAGTCACAAGAGAAAAATAGGAGAACCCAATAAAAGAAAGAGCTGACTTCTTATCAGAAACAATGCAGGCTGTAAGGCAGCAGAGTGACATATGCAAAGGGCTGAAGGAAAAATCTGTCTACCAGACATATTATATTCAGCAAAACTATATTTAAAATGTAGGAGAAATAAAGACATTCCCAGATTTTAAAAAAAAAAAAAACCTGAGAGAATTCTTTTCTAGCAGATCTGCCTTCCAAGAAATGCTAAAGGAAGTTTTCCAGTCTGAAAGGAAATGATCTCAGAGAGTAATTTGAATGTACGTGAAAATACAAAAAGCACTGGTAAAGGTAATTTTTAATTATAAAGGAAAATATAAATGCATATTTCTTCTCCTTTCTTCCCTGAACTGTTTTAAAGCCATTGTATAAAGCAATATGTATGTAATTGTTGAGTGTATATAATATAGAAATGTAATATATTTACAATAACAGCACAAAAGGAAAAAAGCTGTACTGGGGTAGAGAAATGACACCAGATGGTATGACTCTCCTGATTTAAAAAAAAGATCTTACAACAAAATATATCGCTAGACGAAAAGAGGGACGTTTTATGATGATAAAAAGGACACTATCAGGAAGCTATAGCAATTATAAATGTCTGTTTACCTAACAACAGAGTCTCAGAATACTCAAGCAAAAACTGACAAAATTGAAGGGAGAAATAGACAGTTCAACATTTACATCTGAAGATTTCAATATCACACTGTCAATAATGGATAGAAAATCTAATTACGAGATCAACAAGGAAGTAGAAGACTTGAATAACATTATACAGCAACTAGACCTAACTAATAAATATAGAACACTCTCTCCAACAACCTCAGAATACACATTCTTCTCATGTACACATGGAACATTCTGTAAGTTAGACTATTGCTAGACCAAAATACAAGCCTCAATAAATTTAAAAGATGTGAAGTTATATAAAATATGTTCATCAACCACAATAGAATGAAATTAGAAATTAAAAGAAGAAATTTGGAAAATTCAAAAATATGTGTAATTAAAAAAATATACTCCTAAATTACAGATAAAAAAGATGTCACAAGGAAATGAGAAATTTCTTTGACATTAATGAAAAAGAAGACAAAACTCTAAAAACTTACGAGATACAGTTAAAGCAGTTCTTAGGGATTTATAGCTACAAAACCTGTATTTTTTTTTAAAAAAATCTCCAATGTAAATTTAATACTCTATGATTTTAGTATGTTCACAATTATTAGTAGGGAAACCTACCTCATTTTGCATAGCTGCAATAGCAAATTGATAATTTAAACTCTTGTATCAGATAGTGATGTTTTTTAATGATAATGTATCTGTAATGGATTGAATTGTATCCCCCCC